GGGGCCCCAGAAGTTTCTCGTCGCCGCAGTCGCAAGTCCCCCCGAAACGTTCAAGTCAAAACATACCCCTGGGAGAGGAACGGGGTCGATTGTCTGGGGAGGAGGGGTGGAAATGAGGTGGAGGGAGGGGCTCCACCTTCTTCCTCCTCCCCTTCGCCTCTCCCTCGCCTTCCTCGCTCCTCCTTCCTCCCCGTTCTCATGTTTGTCGTTCTCCCCTGCTGCTGCTGCTGCTGCTGCTGCTGCCGCCGCTGCTGCTGCTGCTGCTGCTGCTGCTGCTGCTGCTGATGCTGCTGCTGCTGCGGCTGCGGCTGCGGCTGCGGCTGCGGCTGCAGCTGCGGCTGCGGCTGCGGCTGCGGCTGCGGCGGCGGCTGCGGCTGCGGCGGCGGCTGCGGCGGCGGCGGCGGCGGCGGCGGCTCCTCCTCCTCCTCCTCCTCCTCCTCCTCCTCCTCCTCCTCCTCCTCGCCCTCCCCCTCCTCCTCCTCCTCCTCCGAGCCCCCTCCTGGCCTCCCTGCCCTCCCCCGGTTCCTCCTCCCCCCCCTCTCCGCAGCCCCAGAGGGTCCCGAGTTCGAGGGGACCCCTGGGGCACGGAGCTTGGCGCCGCGCACGCGCTTCTTCCTTCTCCCCTCCTCCTCCTCCTTTCCCACCCACCCCTCCTCATCCTCAACCCTCAATCCCTCTCCCTTCCCCTCCTCATCCTCAATCCCTCTTCCATTCCCCTCCTCATCCTCAATCCCTCTTCCTCGTCAGGAACTCCGAGAAACAGTATGGACCCCTGCCACCGAGACCCCATCGGGAAGGGACCGATCCCCCTGCCGATGGGTTCTCTGTGGCGGTGGTCCATGCGTCTCCCCTGAGTAGCCCCATACACGTCGTACCAGCAGACGTGTTGTCATGGCGGGCTGGGCGACCAGTGATGAAGCGTGCCATTGCCAACAGGACACACGAATGGAAGGCGGATCGCCACACGCACCCTGGGAACCGCACTCCCCGGCTCTCTGGACCCATGGAGCCAGTGGCTGCGGATCCCTTAAGGCGGCCCCTCGGGGGGGGAAATATGAACATCCACCGCCTCCTGGGACCCCGGGGGCATGGTCTCCACACGCGGTGGACATGCGTGTGCAACGCAGGCTGCGGATCTGCCTCCGAATCCCCCGACCAAGGTGCTATCAGCATCAGTCCCCAAACCCCTCCTGGACTGCATTCGGGCCAGATGTGTCATCCAATATCGATGTTGTGGATGTCCGGGGGTCCGAAACGGCCCCTTTGGGGCCGCATGTGTTCCTCCCGCGGCCTTCTGCCGCACCCCTCGCTGCTGCGTCCTCCTCCCGATCTCCGATGTCTGGAAGCCTTTTCCCGAGCCAAATCGGTCCGTGAAGCTCCAGGAGACCGGAGTCAGGCGAAAAACCACGCGTGCCAGTCACAACGCCCAGGTCTGTGGAGGAGCAAACAACGTGCGCACAAACTCTCGGAGGTCCGCGCAGGCATGCGAGAGTGCATGCTTCTGTCCGGTTCGTCCTTGACTACAGCGCGGCCAGATCAAAAGCATGCGCGGTAAGGATGCAAGGACCTTGGTCGCCCAGAGTTATGTTGCTCCCATCGTACTTAAGGACCACATCCCAGAAATAAGTTCGAGGAAAGCATCGAAACAATGTCGAACGAGTGTCGCCTCCCAAGGCCCGACACGTGAAAACCCGCGAACTTCTGTTCTTTCTGATGCACCAGACTGAAGCCTGAGTTGGGAGCCTATGCCCCGTGGCGAAGGGCTGGGACAGGCCGAGAGGTGAGGATGCAAGGGGGCCCTTGGAAACTGACCAATCGGTCGGAAGAAGAATGCAAAAACATGACGTAGGAAGGCGTTGAAACTAGATCGGGTTTCCACCGGCCCCCTAAAGAGAACGGAAAAGGTGAAGCCACTCGATCATTGAAGTAGGAAGGCGCCTAAAGTATCTTGGAACCTGGAAATCCCAAAATGCCGAGTTTCAACGACCGACGGGCACTCATCTTTGTGACACGGTTTGCCTGCGAGGGAAGCGATCGTCCCAGCTCTCCTCCAGGTCGTCGTGCCAGAAAGAGCTCACTCGAGATCGGAAGACCGTCATCCTCTGCTCGCACTGCGTCACCTGCACTCCGGCAACAAGCGATCGGCACGCATCAGCCGGCAGAAGCGAGGCCACACTTTGGACGCCCGAAATGGGCACGGAAACAATGGGCACAATGCCAAACAGCAAATGCTGTCCCGAACCAACAGCGGCCGCTGTTAGGCAGGCGGCCTTCTGTCTCGAATGGGCACAGGCCGCGGCGACACCGACAGCGAATCCCGTTCAAAATGAACAGGATCCGCTGTTGGGCATTGTACCAATTTTTTCCGTACCCATTTCGGGCGTGCGATACGGCGATGCCAAGTCTCTGATCCTGTTGGGTTTGGGACCGAGCGGCACAAATGGGCCCCGCCTGGCGAATGGGGGGGCGCCTATCCTCGACACGACGGAGGTGCTCACGAGCGGCGAAAATGTCCGTATACGCGCCCGGGCGGTCTGGATTCCGGGAGGCGACCCCCTGGGGGCCCTGTCGCACAACTACGTCCCGCGGGGGGGCATCCGCAAAAATGAACCCGGCGTGACCCCAAGTAGGGAAAAGCTTCCTATTGCATGGGCGCAGAGGTTGGCAGTGCTTGGCATTGCTTGGCAACGCTCGGCAAACCTGGCCATTGCTGGGTATTGCTTCGCACTTGCGAACGTTTTCTTACTCGGCATTTCGACATTGGGCGGAAGGGGGGGCGGGATCGGTCGGGGATCTCCTGACCCGGGTCAATCCAGACCCGGGTCAGCAAGAAACCGAAAAATTGCAATGCAGGAAACAAAACTGCAACGCAGGTCTTCGCAAACCCGGGTCAGCCAATATGCGCGGCCGCCTCGCCGCCACGAGCGGCTCGCTAACCCGGGTCACCCAAGATTTCATCCAGATCGGCACAAGAGGCCCCCCGAGATGATTCCGAGACAGCCTCAGAACGACCCAAGTGCGCCTCAAGACAGCCCTAGAGCCCCACGAGGCCCCAGGGGGCCCTCAAGAGGCCCTCAGGAAGCCCGAAGGGACCCCCAAGAAGGCCCCAAGAGGCCCAAAAGATGTTCCCAAGAGGCCCCAAACCTGCCCCCAGAGGCCTACGAGCGCGCTCCGAAGAGGAACTGTGAAGCATCCCTGAGGACTCTGCACCACGTCAGCGTCGTCGTTGCCGCCGACTCCGCCGTCATGGTCGTTCAGGGTCGGCGGCACCGGCCGCAACGCCTTCCAAATACGCCTCCACTCCGCCCGACGGCCCGGTCCATCTTTACGCAGTTGTTCCTCCATTCCGCCCGACGTCCCGTTCCAGACCCCCACGCGCGCCGAACACGCCGCCAATCGCGACCACCCCTCCCCCCCACACCAAAGAGCCGGACAAGCTCATCCGGCCCCCCCCCCGCCCACGCGCCCCCCGCCCCCCTCACGGTTACTGAGCAATTCGGAGCCTTTCCCTACTTGCACCCATCCCGCTCAACGCCAGGCACTGCTGGTTGGGCCGGCCGGCCTCGAGGCGGCTCGTCCAGTCCAGGAAGCCCTCGAAGTCGTGCTGCAGCCAGTGGATCAGCCTGCAGGCGGGCGGGCTGCGCTGCCCACGCCTGCGGAGGAGGAGGAGGAGGTGTCGTGACGACTGCGGCACTGGTCTCTGACAGCTCGTGGAGTTGCTCAACCTGAAGCGGTCGGAGCGCATAGCGTTCCACGTCGGCTGGTTCGCGGAAACTGGCGGCGTTCAACCTTGAACGCCAGCGCTGAGGTCGCCGCCGCGTCGACACGACACGAACCTGCACTGCCGTACCACGACTCGAACGCTTTTCCCAAAGGCAATGCTTGCATTGAGCGGTTCTCACTTGCCTCGCTAAACAATTACTAAGCAAGTGGGTGGGTCCGGCGAGATCTCGCCACGATGCCAACCGTTGCCGCCTGGCTGCCGCCTCGTGTGCAAGGTGAATCCAGCGAGGTTTCGCCGCGTTGCCGCCTGGTTGCCGTCTCGTTGCCGCCTCTTTGCCGCCTGTAGCTTGCATCGCGTGTCCGTTCAATTCGTTGGCCAATACAAACAACAACAGCATCAACAACAACACCAACAACAATTATTCACTGCGTGGAGCTCCCCATATGTGCATCTATTTGCATGGACCTGTCCGCCGTGTCTAGGCGCAGGAGTTCTCGAATATAAGCGGGCTTGAGTTGTGACGGTCTGGTCATGAATCTGATTGCAGATGAATTGGCGTGTGAATGAGTCTCAGTAGTACGAGCGCGTCTCTGCGCATGAGCCTGGGGCCTCCTGGGGCCTCCTGAAACCTCCCGGGGCTTCCTGGGGCGTCCAGGAGCCCCTTGGGGCCTCCTCGGGCCTCTTGGGGCTTCGAGTGGCCTACGGAGGCCTCCTGGAGCCTCGCGTGGATTCCTGGGGCCTCCTGGGGCCTGCTGGGACCTCTTAGGGAGAATTCGTGCCTCAGGAGAGGCCCAATATATGGGAACAGACGTACATAAAACATTGCGGATTGGAGCCACAGGAGAAGGCCAATCTATAAGAACACACGTAAAACACCAAGGGCTCGTGCCCCAGGGGCGGCCCAATCTATAGGAACACGCGTATAACATCAAGAATTCGTGCTCCTTTGTTTTTGCATCGCTCGCGCGGCGCTCGCTGCGAGCACCATCCGCTGTGGAGGCCCGGGCTGACGGCAGCCACTCTTGTTGAACAGCCCGCGAGAAACTGCAAAAGCAAATCCCTCGAGCGCTGCCGCAGCCGAGCAACACGCTCCGCTAGGCCGCCTGCCCGTCTTGGGATCGCGGCCCTGGCGGATGTTCTCGATTTCCTCCTGTGGCATCCTGGGGAGAATCTGTGTCCACGAGTCTGGCCACCAAAACAAGCAAACCGATCGAGACATCCTCAAAATCTGGCCCCCCTGGGTGCGATAGCCAGCGCCTCGCACGAGACATCCTTCGAACCTGCTCCGAAAACAAAGGGTGTTCGCGACCAAAACAGGCAAGCCGCCTGAGTCATCCCCGCAATCTGGGCGCGAACGGAGGCCGTGAGATACCCCTGGCGCCCCCCCCTCAAGAGGCGCCTCGAACGAGACATCCCCAAAGTCTGTTCCGACAGCGAAGGACGTTCGCGACCAAAACAAGCAAACCGCCTAAGTCATCCCCGCAATCTGGGCGCGAACGGAGGCCGTGAGATACCTCCTGTCGCCCCCCTTTGGAGTGGTAACACCAGCAAACCAGTCGAGACGTCCTCATCATCTGCACCAACATCATCAGCAGCATCAGCACCAGCACCAGCATCATCATGATCATCATCATCATCATCATCATCATCATCATCCGCATCATCATCACCATCATCACCATCAGCATCACACTCCTCCATCATTCGCAATTACCATCATACTCACATCATACTCTCACCATACCATGGTCACCATCATGCCACTCATCATCATCGTCTAGTGCAGAAAGGGAGGAGGGAGGTAAGGGATGATGATGAGGGGTCTGGCGCGGTCAGAGAGGAACAACAACCCGATCCTTTGGATATGGGAAACAGGAGCCCCATCATTTGGATATGGGGAACTACAACAACAGCAACAGCAACAGCCACAACAACAACTACTACTACTACCACTACTACTACTACTACTACTACTACTACTACTACTACGACTACTACTACTACTACAACTACTACTACTACTACTACTACTACTACTACTACTACTACTACTACTACTACTACTACGACTACTACTACTACTACTACTACTACTACTACTACTACTACTACACTACTACTACTACTACTACTACTTATACTTACTACTACTATACTACTACTACTACTACTGCTACTACTGCTGCTGCTACTGCTACTACTACTACTACTACTACTACTACTACGCTACTACTGCTACTGCTACTGCTGCTACTGCTAACTACTACTACTACTACTACTACTACTACTACTACTACTACTACTACTACTACTACTACTACGACTACTACGACTACTACGACTACTACGACTACTACGACTACTACTACTACTACTACTACTACTACTACTACTACTACTACTACTACTACTACTACGACTACGACTACTACTACTACTACTACTACTACTACTACTACTACTACTACTACTACTACTACTACTACTACTACTACTACTACTACTACGACTACTACGACTACGACTACTACGACTCCTACGACTCCTACGACTATTACTACTACTACTACTACTACTACTACTACTACTACTACTACTACTACTACTACTACTACTACTACTACGACTACTACTACTACTACTACGACTACTACTACTACTACTACTACTACTACTACTACTACTACTACAGCCGCAGCAGCAGCAGGGCAATACCAACAACAACAACAACAACAAACAAAAGTACAGCCGCAACAAGACCAGTCATTATAAGACTGTTTGCTATCACGCGCCCGCGTGCCATTCAAAACGAGTTCCCCACACCCTCGATACCCGCCCTTTTTGTCTTCGATCACACCCCCTTTGGGGGCATTATTTCTCTTTGCGGGGGGCGGCGGGCTTAGGCAGGCGGGCAAACCTGAACGGGCGGACAATCCTTCGTGGGCGCGCATGTGCCCGCCATTGGAACAGGTGTGGGCCTTGCAAAAAGAGGATGGGGAGAACGAGGAATAATGGAAGGGAGGGGGAGGGACGAAGGAAGAGGGAAAACGCACGGAGCGAAGGAGCGAAGAGGGGGGCGGTTGATTAGAAGCAGAAAGAGAGGGAGAGAGAGAGAAAGACAGATAAGAGAGGTAGAGAAAGAGGGAGAGAGGGGAGAGAGAGAGAGAGAGGGAAAAAAAGAAAGAGGGAGGGAGGAGGCAGGAGAGGGGAGGGAGAAGGGAGGAGGGAGAGGAGGGAGGGGGGATAGGGCAAAGAGGCATAAGCATGATGGAAGAGCGGAGGGAGAGAGAAGGAAGGAGAGGAGGGAGGAGGGAGGAGGGAGAGGGAGGAGGAGCACGAAGGTAAGAGCGTGAACGTTCGAGGAAGTCCTAAACGAAAGCGCCGTTCCTGAAGGAAATCTCGGGCGGGACCCCACGACGGGCGGGCGATCCCCTGTCGGGCAGGTCCGAATGGTGGGACATTCAAGCGGGATGCCTGAGTATGGCGAGAGCGCGATTACTAAGTGAATTGTAACGGCGTCCTTGGCGCAGCGTGTTCCCTGAGCGTCGAAAGCGTCATTGGCCCTGCCGCCGTCACGGTCGTCATCACCACCACCATCGCTACCAGCATCGTCGCTGCCGCCGCTGGTGGCCGCGCACCAGCGCGGCCTGTGAGACGCGCTGGGAAGTTCCCATCGGTAAGCGCCATCGCGGCCGCGTCGGTTGTGCCAAGCCAGGTGGTCGCTCTGCGAGCGAATCTGCAGGACTTTCCTCATAGAGACTGGAACGACCGAGGATGATGGCGGCATGTCTCCAGCGCTGCAGGTGAATCGACATGATGCTGCAGAGATCATGCATTCATTCACTCACAAGCGTGATACTGAGGGGGTTGCGGTTGGCCGTCCCCAGCGACTGCGAATACAGGGGCCGCTGCAGACGCCGCGCCGAGCCCTTCGCAGTAGAAGTTGCAGCAAAGCGTACCAGCAGTATTGGTATTTCCTTTAGGTCGTGAAACCCACCGCATCAGCACACTACAATCCAGGTGAAACATCTGAATCTCACGCGCGTAAGGAATATCCCGAGCATCAAGCCTCGACCCCCGAACACTGCCGAACAGACTTCCGACACTGGCGCAAAACAAATTATCGTATAGAACAATGCCCACAACATCATAGGTCTGGCTTGCAAACATTGAATTGTAGATGCCGCTTCGAATCGCAATCGCTTGGGCGCAAAGTACAACTGCACATGTACGCCGACGGAGGAGGCACTGCATTGTGCAAGCGAGGCGGCATAGAAGGAATGGTTCGCGAAGATCCAGCGGAGCACGATTTTCCGATAGCCTCGCAATCTTCCGCGGTAATCCTCACGGGCGTTTATGCTTTGGTGACTGCTTTGGCCCTCGTGGTCTTCGCGGTCGCCGTGGTGGTCGCTTTGGCCCTGGCGACCTCGAAGACGACAATGCTCGGGAGCGGCTAAGAGGGGGGTGTCCCAGAGGGGGGGGTGCACATCATGACCGGCGGCATGTGCGCGGCCCAGCGGGGGGGCCAGGGACGTAATGAAATAAGAAGAGGCGCCATGAAATCTGGGGAAATATCATGGCCCCCGCCATGATATCCACACCCCCCTAGTCATCACCCCCCTCTTTTCCGCCCCCGAAATGCCTGGACCCACATCGACTCTCGACCTGCCCTGGGATGCGCTCTGGCCAGACTCTCGAGGCGCCTCTGGCCGCGGCGACGAAAGGCCCCCCCAAAGGCCGCGGACGGCACAACGCGCACGAAGGCCCCGAAACCCTCGCACCCCAGACGACGGCCACGACGACGACGACGACAAGGTCCACGGCACCGACGGCCCGACGACGTCGCCGACGGCTACGGTGCCGACGACCACGACGACCACGAAGACCACGACGACGACCAAGACGAGGACGGCGATGCCCTCGTCCTCGCCCTCGCCCTCGTCCTCGTCATCGTCATCGCCCTCGACGTCGTCGTCGTCGTCGTCGTCGTCGTCGTCGTCGTCGTCCTCGCCGTCGTCGTCGTCGTCGTAGTCGTCGTCGTCGTCGTCGTCGTCGTCGTCGTCGTCGTCGTCGTCGTCGTCGTCGTCGTCGCGGGCGTCGTGGGCGCGGCGGCGGGCGCAGGCCCGCGGACGCTGGTGCGCATCCAGTCGAACGGCATATGCGCCTCGCGCGGGGCCCCCCCCCGCGGCGGCGGGGCGGCCCTGACGGACTACCTGCCAAACTTTCAGACCCCCAACCCGAAGACCCGAATCTCGCCCGAATTTCGGGTTCAGAGGGAGGGGGTGCGGGCTGCACATGAGTGTTTTCCATGTTCCCCGCCCCCCCCACCCCCACTGGAGATGGAGGGTAGATCGGGGCCTTCGGGTCGGGTGGGGGTGGTGTGGCGGGCGGTGGCTGACGCCCCCCCGCGCCGTGGAAGACATGGCGACCTGTTCCTGGCCGACTGTGCCGCCGATGCCAACGCTCGGCGGCGAGCGAGGGGGGGAAGCGAGAAGGGGAAGGCCTCCTCAGAAGGCTCGAAGTCAGCCCGGCCTTCCGAGGAGTGCTCCGAAGTCTTCCCCCAAGACGCGGAGAGCTTCTCGGAAGCCGCGAAGGGGCTCCCGAGGAGTGCCGCCGCCGTCGAGGAGAAGGCGCTCTCCTCCTCGCTTCCCCCCCTCGCCCCGGGGAGCCCAAGAGGCACCAACACCCCTGCTCCCAAGGCCTCTCCCAGGGTGCGTTCTGACCAGATCTTCGGAGGCGAATCCGGCGGTGGCAACGAGGACCTCCCAGAAGACCCAAAAAAGGGGGAAAACGGGCAAAGGGCAGAGGTATGGGTACCTGCTCCCCCCCCCTCGCTCGCCGCCGCGGGAGAAGCCAACGGCGCCATGGGATGCTGAGCCGATTCCTCAGCCTCCAGAGGGGGCCCTCGCTGGAGACCCGGCACCGTCAAGAGAAACGGCTCGGGGTGGGAAGACTTCAGGGCCCCGTAGACCCGGACACGCTAGACCCGGACACCCAACATCCCTCGAAACCATTTTTTCCAAACGGCGGCACGAACAAAATACCGCACTGCAGCATTTCCAGAAGAAACCTGGACACAGGCCTCAAAAAGCCTGCAAGACCCCCCTAAACCCGGACACAATCCCGAATCCTGCAGTGCAGCAAACAAAACATACACGGCCGCTGAAAAACGTAACTTTGCAGGAAACGATGTCGTTTCCTTGGTTTTCCGTGTCCTGGTTTATCTGTCCTGGTTTCCGGGGGCCTGAAGACTGCCCCGAGGAAGAGGTCCGGACCTCCGGGGAGCCACGCTGCGAAAAAAAGGCATCAAAAAATCCCCCCCAGAAGAACCACCCCGACATGGGAAGTCGTCTAGTAAACGCGCCCGGAGAAGGAATCGAACAGGGCAGGGCTGTTGAGTCACCGCCCAAGGCCGTTTAGGAAACGCCAATTGTCGGGCCCGGGTGGTTTTTCCCCCCTTGGAAAAGAAGTGCACGACGTCGGATGCCTGGGAGGGAGGAGGGGCCTCTCCTCCCCCACGGCCGAACATGACCCCCCACGGGCGCACTGCGTGGCGTTGCTTGGCAGACTTCTTGGCATGCAGCTTGGCACGTCTTCGCAGAGTGTGGCGCTGCTTGGCGTTGCGCGGCGTTGCGTGGCACTGCATGGTATTGCGAGGCATTGCTTGCCAGTGCTTTGCATTGCTTTGGATTGCGTGACGATGCTTGGTGCTGCTTGGGATTGCTTGGCACTGAAAGGAAAACACGACCAAGGAATCAAGGACGCAAAACCAAGGAAGCAAGGAAGCAAAACCAGGGAACAAATGAAGCAAGACCAAGGAATCACCACCCGAGGAACCAAGTAAGTGAAACCAAGAAACCAAGAAACCAAGACCGATTAACCAAGGAACCAAGACCAAAAAAACAAGGAACCAAGACCAAGGAACCAAGGCACCCGAGGAAGGCAGCATGGAACCAAGACTAAGGAACCAAGTAACCAAGACCCAGGAATCCAGGAACCAAGACCAAGGGATCAAACGAAACATTGAGATCAAAAAACCCAGGGGAACCTCGGCGCGAGCGCGTCCGGCACCGGCCCGTTCCTTCACATACAAATTCGGATCCCTAAGACAGAGCCAAATTAGGGAACGTTGCCAACCACCTCCACACACACACACCTGTTGGCGCCTCGACCTCGCGCGCAGCGACGAGGCGTAGAGGAAGTCGGGAGAAGCAGAGCAGCGGACGCGACACACACACACACAGACACAGACACACACACACACACACATACACAAACACAAACACACACACACACACACACACACACGCACACGCACACGCACACGCACACGCACACGCACACGCACACGCGCACGCGCACGCGCACGCGCACGCGCACGCGCACGCGCACGAACACGCACGCACACACAAACACACACACACACACACACACGCACACACACACGCACACACACACACACGCACACACGCACACATACACACACGCACGCACGCACGCACGCACGCACACGCACACACACACACAATCCTCATCCTCCTCGTCATCTTCCTCCCCTTCCTCCTCCCCCTCCTCCTGCTCCTCCTCCTCCTCCTCCTTCCCTTGCTCCGCTCTCATCCTCTGGCTCCCACTCCTCCTTCTCTCTCAGCCTCGCTCCTCCTCCTGCCTCTCCTCCTTGTCCATCCTCTTCCTCCTCCTGCTCTTCCCCCCTGCCTCCTCCTCTATCTTCCTCCTGCTCCTCCTACTCCCTCCTGATCGCCCCCTTATCGCACCGCGATGGAGCCCATTCCATTCCCTCCTGATCGTCCCATATCCTCCTTATCCTGATCCTCCCTTCTCCTCCGTCTCCTCCTCCTCCTCCTCCTCCCCGCCCGCCTACTCTTCCTGTCCTTTCTCCTGAGGCTCCCTACGTTGAATATATATATACACATGTAAACTGTGCACATGGTCAAGCACAAATGCACGCACACACATACACACAACAGAAAGACATCGAATCCAGCTCTGGACCTCGTCTCAGGGCTTCACTCCAGCCAAACTGCCAAAGAGAACCAAACATTGGGAAGCCTAAGTACACCTCCTCCCTTCTCCTCCTCGGCCTCCTCATGTTGCTCCTCCCCCCCCATTTTCCATCCTACTCGCTCTTCCTCCTCTTCCCCCTCCCCCTCTTTCCCCTCCCCTCTCCCCCTTTTCCTCCTCTTCCTCTCTTCCTCCTCCCCGTTCTGCCCCTCCTCTCCCTCCTCCTCATCCTCTTCAACTCTAGCCTCCTTTTTCCCCATACCCCCTCTCTGCACGTGGCCGAACAATCACGATGACCCGAAAGATCTCGACCCCCCCGGGTGACCAAAATTTATCCCGGACCCTTCTTCAGATGGCCCCGGAACCCGAAAGCGCCCCCGCGGAGGGGGACAAAAAAACAGCACACAATCGAGGCTGGAAAAAACGCAACGACGATTCACACGATAAACAATACCAGTACCCCTAACCCTTTGGTAGGGGGACCTAAGTAAGTTAGGACAACCAAACACATTAGGGATAGGTGGTCTCTTCTGCAGATGTATCAGACCAAACTGCCCAGACTTCTTATCCCGAATGCGACGACAGGGATCTCAGTGAGGCAACATCGTCATCGTGGTATTAGGGTTTAAGATTCTTTTGTTCTCGAAGATCACAGACTGAAGAATCATCGCCGGGGCTGAACCAAAAAATTAGCCTGGCGAAGGACCCAACAATATGCAGTTGTGAGTACCGCAATTGTCAATGCCGTCTGAGGTGGAACTCCCTGTGGGGCAACGCCCGCATGCGGGCTGTGACGCTGGAGCCTTCGGTAGAGCTCTCTGTGGGGCCACGAAACGTGTGAGGTGTGTTCCGAAACGGGAGTGTCGCCCACATGCGTGGTGCGCCACTGGGACCGTAGGTGGAACGCCCGGTGGGGCCCGAGACGTGTGAGGGTGTGCCGAATCGGGGGTGTCGCCCACATGCGGGCTGCGCCAATGCGGCCTTAGGTGAAGCTCCCTCTGGGGCCACGAGACGTGCGAGGGTGTGCCGAAACGGGGGTGGCGCCGACATGCGGGCTGCGCCACTGGGACCTGAGGTGGAGCTCCCTTTGGGGCCACGAAGCGTGTGAGGGGTGTGTGCCGAAACGGGGGTGGCGCCCACATGCGGGCTGCGCCAGTGGAACCTTAGGCGAAGCTCCCTGTGGGGCCACGAGACGTGTGAGTGGTGTGCCGAAACGCGGGCGGTGCCCACATGCGGGCTGCGCCACTGGGACCCTGGGTGAAAATCACTGTGAAGCCACGAAACGTGTGAGGGGTATAGCGAGACAGAGACATGCGGATGGCAGAGGGAACATGATGAGATGAGGAAGGGGGCAGCGGGAGGAGGTGACGCGGGGTGCTTTCTCCTCACCAAGAGGACCCAACACGACAGGATGGTTGGGAATGAAGGAACACCGCCAAGGGAGATACAACAAAACGATTGAAACGGATCCCTGGGCCCCTCCCGCGGTCCACCCTGGCCGGTTTTTCCAGCCGAGCTCGGCGGTGGCGACACGAACATTCAAAAGCACCTGGAAGCACTCCAAAAGGAACAGGTTGTCATCATCCAAGGCGGCGGCGACGGCATCGTCCCCATTCAATGTTTAAGCAGGGACCGACCATCCCAGCATTCCTGTAAGCCAACATCAAGTTGTTGTTAGAACCCAGAAGTTCTCTAAGAACGAGAACACTGCTCTTGGAACAGAAACTCGATGCGTGCAAAACAAAACATCGGCCAGAAATGGTCTAAGAACGTGTCGTGCAGACCACAGAGAAGGTTTTTAGAACATTCTCCGGTAGGCCTTTGTATAGGCGAGCCAGGACGCTTCGCCACTGCTCGAAATTATGAAAGCCCCAGCCTGCAACAAAAATATGGGGCGCGCTCGGACCGGAGCTTCTGGCCGCGCCCCGTCGTAGCGACAAACGCGCCCGGGGAGGGCCCCTTTGAAAAACCAGCCAGGAACTTCGGGACCGCCGCCGCCGCCGTTGCCGCCGCCGCCAGCGGCCACAGCGGCGGCAACGGCGGCCAGCGTCGGTGGAGGCGGAGTGGCGGCGTCGGACCCCCAGGGCTCGGGAGCGAAGGAAACATCAAGAGGACACCCGCGCCGCCTCTCAGGCTGCGCGCGCTGCCCCCCCGCACCTCGCGCGGCCGAAAAAAGCTGGACATCCCTCCGACGGAGGGGGAACGACCAGTGGGGCTCCGGCTCAGGGGGGGGGGACACTGTGAAGGGGCCCAAGGACACACAAATAAATACACACAAATAAAAATATTCCCCATGTTGTCCTATATTTTCTAGGTTTTTGTCTTCCCCCCCACTTCCCATATTTTCTATATTTTCTGGGGAATCGTCGATTAATTGTGTCTGTGTGTGAATTTCCCTCCTGACACTGGCCAGCAGTCGGCGAGGCCTCGCCGAGGCATCGGTGATCGGCGAAGCGGCGACCGACAGCTCAGCCGCACACCCCTGGGCAGGGCGGGCGGTCGGGCCCCTCCCTGCCCGACGACGGGGCGAAAGGGGCGGGGGGTGTCGACGCGCACGCCCCGGAGCCGATCCCCCCCCCCCCCGCGCGGCACGCCGGCGGGGCCTTCGGCGCCAGCGCGGCACGCAGCGGAGGGGGACGGGGGCCGCGTGAGGCAGCGGCGGCTCGCCCGCCCAGCCCATGTGACAGCGGAGGCCCGTCCACAGGAAACCGCTCGCGAGAAACCCAACCCTGAGACCCCGGGACGTCCATGGATGTCTGGCGCGGGAGCGTCACGCCTCCCATCTCAAAACCATCGAAACCATCGAAACCCGGGGCACGCTGGAGGCAAGCAGGGTGCTTCTTGGCATGGGCCTCCACTGCATCCGCTCCAAATCCGTTGGGGTTCTGCTGACCAGGGTCGGTGGAAACCCGGGTCCGCCAGGCTCTGCAGGATCCTGCAAAATCCCGCAGGGTCCTGTGCGCTGGCCCGGGTCAATGCACCCCTGGCTTTAAGTCGGGCATGTCTCCCTACAGGCGGATTTTGGACGAAAAAAATAGACACCCCAAAATGATCAAAAATGGTCAAAAAATCTTCCCCCGACTATTTCTTAACTGTTTTTGAATACTCTCCCTGTAAAGGGACAAGCCAGACGTAATCCTAGCCCGGATGAATGCACCCCTGGCTTTACAGGATCCTACAACATCCGGCGCCCTGGCTGACCCCCGTCTCGCGGAATCGCTCGGGCGCGCATTCCCCGTGTATGCTTCGATCTCGCGCGCGCATTCCTTCGCGAGATGATGCGCTTGTTCCTCCATGGCCCTCGCCGAGACAGAATGCACTCGTCCTGCTGGCGACGCCCAGGCTTGCACCGACACCCGTCTCAAGGCTCCCTCGACATCCTCCGACATCAGGAGAGAGTCACCGCCCGCACACCCAAGAACGCAGTGAAACTCCCGCAGAAAGAGAAGAAGAAGAAGAAGGAGAAGAAGAAGAAGAAGAAGAAGAAGAAGGAGAAGAAGAAGGAGAAGAAGAAGAAGAAGGAGAAGAAGAAGAAGAAGAAGGAGAAGAAGAAGAAGAAGAAGAATAATAAGAAAAAGGAGAAGAAGAAGAAGAAGAGAGACAAGTTGAGATCCACGGGCGAGCTCGGCGGCCTCGGGGCGGCGGCGGGGCCTCGCGCGGATCTCCCCCTTCGCGCCCGACGCCGCCCATGGCCCACCCCGCACCCGCCCTCCGAGGCGCCCGCGCAGCCGCGGCAACGAGAGGCCCCCCCGGAGGCCCCGAGAGGCCGAAGAGCGCCGGGGGCTGCCGCCGCTGCCCCTCGACCCCTCGACGCGCCAGAGAGCCGTGGACTCGAGAGCCGTCGCCGCCGCGCGATCCAGGTCCGAGGATCGGGGTCCGAGGATCGAGGTCCGAGGATCGAGAAGGCTAAAAGAAGGGTTCGGGGCTCGAGGGTCGAGAAGGCTCGAGGATCGAGGCTCGAGGATCGGCGGCCCGAGGCTCGAGGCCCGAGGATCGAGGCCCGAGGATCGAGATTCGAGGATCGAGAAGCTGGTTGCCCCTGGCTGGACAGTGTCCTGCGTGCCTGACATATTGGGGTCGCCCTTCTGGTGACCGCGTCGCACTTCGGGGCCCGTCTGCTCGTTGAGCGATCGAGGAGCGAGGGGCGAGGAGCGAGATCCCAGCTTCGAGGCTCGAGGAGGCCCGAGGCTCGAGGATCGAGGAGGCTCGAGGATCCAGGACTCGAGGATCGAGAGGGCTCGAGGCTCGAGGCTCGAGGTCCGGGGATCGAGGCGACTCGAGGCTCGAGGAGGCTCGGGGCTCGAGGGCCGAGGATCGGTGCCCTGCCCCTCCGGAGAGAAAGCCGGCGCCGGGCCTCGCCGAGGCCGAGCCGGCGCAGCGTGAGCTTCGCCTGCCGCTGGGGGGCGCCCACGAAGGAGGATCACGGCGACCAACACGACGACCACTACGGCGACGACCACCACGGCGACGACCACCACCACGACGGCGGCCACCACGGCGACCACCACAACGACCAGGGCGGCGACGATCACGACCACCCTGGAGCCTCACCTGGCACACGGAACTGACTTCACTCGAATCCTCGACTCCTCCTCCTCCCTCCTCAGCCTCCTCCTCCTCCTCCTCCTCCTCCTCCTCCTCCTCCTCCTCAACCTCCTCCTCCTCCTCCTCCTCCTCCTCCTGCTCGTCCTCTTGCGGCGCCGACGTCGGCGATGCCGCCGTCGCGAGGTGGCGACAGCAGCGGCGACGGCGGCGGCGGCGAGAGCGGCGACGACGACGAGGTGTTGCTGGGCGTTTCTGGACGTTCTCGTCGCCGCGGCAGGGCGACGACGACGTACAAGGGGACGACATAATAGGGCTTCCAGGGGCGTTTCTGGGGTGGGCGGAGGGAGGAAGGCAAAGGTAAGGAGGAGAGTCATACCTCCCAGACCGACGCTGACATCATCTCAAGCGCGAGGAAGAGGGGTGAGTACCAGAAGTGGGCGAGGAGGACGAAGCGGAAGATGATGGGGGAGACGAGGAAAAAAGAGAAGGAGGAGGAGGAGGCGGGAAGAGAACCAGCGCAACGACGACAACGATTCTGGCCGGTTTTGGGCCCTCGTTGGGGGGGGTGCGCGGTCACGCTCTGGACACGCAGCTCGAGGAGCACTGGCCAGGATGGCGTCCGAGACAGGTCCTGCGTCGACTCTCGAGAGAAGGGTGAGGAGGGCAGAGGAAGACAAATCTGCACCCTCGCAAGCGCTCGGAGGTCCGCGCGGAGTTCCCGGATTGGCACTGCACCACCCTGGCGCCGCGCTTGGCGACGCCACTGGCGCGCCCGCACAAACGTACTCCAGATTTCGTAATAAAGGGAGGGGGGTCTCATTTCGGGGGGGGTCTCTTCCAAGCTACCTTGGAGGGCCTGGGGGGTCTGGGGACGATGTTTTGGAGGGTTCTCCCAAGGGGGAGGTCTGAAATGGCTTGTCTTGGAGGGTCCAGACCCCCTCCCTTTTATTACGAAATCTGGAGTAAACGTTCGAAGGTCCGGACGGATCCTGGATCGGCGCTGGGACCCCCCCGGCGGCGCCTTCGGCGCCGACCCTTGGGCGCGTTGCGCCGGGGAGGGATCCGGAGCCGATCCGAGGGATCTGCGCAGGCCCCCGAACGCAGATGCTGGCGAGGAGCAGCTCCCTGCGCCCAGGAGTGGCATCGCCTCCTGTCGACGCCGACCTCACGAAGCCCCTCGGCATCCGAGGGAGCCGTCCTCTGCAGTCCGTGCGAGGCCCAGCGGCAGAGACGGGGGCAGGGGCAGGGGCAGGGGCGGGAGGAGGGAGGAAGGGGGGGGGGGACGGGCCGCGCGCAGCGGAGCGTCCTCCGGGCCACCAGGGAGCTCTCGTGCGCGGCCGTGCACTCGCCATCGCTCGGACGTCCACTTCCCGTGCCTTTTTCGGTTTCGTGCGTGTGTTTTTTTTGCCCGATGGTCCAGGATCGTCCTCGATGGCTCCCGCCGGGGAAGAATGCACACGTCCGAGCGATGCCAGGTGCATCTGAGGGCACATCCCAGAGCCTGTCGTCGCCTTCGAGCTTTGTCAGTCGCTGGTGAGTGCATGCAGTGTGTGCCAGTGCCGACGGACGCCCGCCCACGGCACACCGCGCGGCGACCCCCCCCCCCGCAGAGGGCGGCGCTGCCACCGGCAGGGGGCGGCGGCGGGCTCGCCCCGCAGTAGCTGCCGACCGACACGACCTGGGCGGTGCAGCAGACGCCCCCTCGATGACGATGGCGATGACGACGATGACGATGACGATGATGATGATGATGATGATGATGATGATGATGATGATGACGCTGACGCTGACGATGACGATGACGATGATGACGAGGATGATAATGGTGATGCTGACGATGATGATGATGATGATGATGGTGGTGATGATGATGATGATGATGATGATGATGATGATGATGATGATGATGATGATGATGATGATGATGATGATGATGATAATGATGATGATGATGATGATGATGATGATGACGATGACGATGATGATGATGACGATGATGATGATAATGATGATGATGATGATGACGATGATGATGATGATAACAGACCCCCCTGAAGCACGAAGCAATATCGCCTGACAACGCAACAGATCTGACATGACAAAGTAGGCATTCGCTGATGCCTCATTTGATGATCAAGATGATGACAAGATGATGATGGCATGATGATGAAGGTGATGATGATGATGATGATGATGATGATGATGATGGTGATAGTGATGCTGCTGGTGATGATGATGGTGATGATGATGCTGGTAATGGTGATGAGATGATGATGGATGGTGCTGTTGATGGTTACGACTATGATAATGACGGTAATGGTGATGCTGATGGGGAGGATGATGACTATGATGGCGAGTATTATGATGTTGATGATGATGGCGAGGATGATGCCGGTGGAAATCATGATGATGTTGATGGTGATGATGATGATGGTGATGAAGGTGATGATGCTGTTTGTGATGATTATGGCAATGCTGATGATGATAATGATGATGAAAATGATGCTTATGATCATAATGATGATGAGGAGAAGAATGCTCATGATGATGATGATGACAATGATACCGATGATGATGATGATGATGGTGAGGATGATGGTGATGATGACGAGGCTTATGATGACGGTGATGGAGGTGGTGATGATGATGATGATGCCGATGATGATGATGCTGCTGATGATGAGGATGATGATGATGATGGTGATGATCATGATGCAGATGCAGATGCAGACGATGATGATGGCGATGGGGATGATGATGATGCTGATGACGATGATGATGCTGATGATGGTAATGATGGTGATGACGATGTTGATGACTGTGATGAGTATGCTAGATGATGATGATGATGGTGATGGTGATGGTGATGGTGATGATGGTGGTGATGGTGACGGTGACGATGATGCTGGTACGAATGATGGTGATACTGATGATGGTGGTGGTAGTGATGATGTGATGATGGAGCTGGCAAAGATGATGATGCGATGATGCTGATTATGATGATGATGCTGATGATCACGATGATGATCATGGTTATCCTAAAGATGGCAACGCTGGTAATGATGCTGATGATGATAGAAATGATTGTGATGATGGGAATTGTGATGATCATGGATCTGGACATGATGATGCGAATGATGATGATGCTGATGATGATGGTCGGCAGCAAAATCATCATCATCAGCATCAACATCAGCATCAGCAGCAGCGTCAGCATCAGCAACAGCATCAGCATCAGCACCATCATCAGCATCGGCATCAGCAGCAGCATCAGCATCATCATTATCATCATCATCATCATCATCATCATCATCATCATCGTCATCATAGTCAGCATCAGCATCACCATCGTCGTCATCATCACCAGCATCATCGTCGTCATCATCATCATCGACGACAACATCATCATCGTCGTCATCATCATCATCATCATCATCATCAGCACCAGCATCAGAATTAGCATCAGCATCAGCACCAGCACCAGCATCAACACCAGCATCAGAATCAGCATCAGCATCAACATCACAAGCATCAGCATCGCCATCAACACCATCATCATCATCACAATCACCATCATTATCATCGTCATCGTCATCCTCATCATCCTCATCGTCATCCTCATCCGCATCATCATCATCAGCAGCGTCAGCATCAGCATCAGCAGCATCAGCATCAGCATCACCAGCAGCATCAGCAGCATCAGCATCATCAT